ATGAGTGAGAGGTTTGATGTATCCTTCTTCTACAGCATTCCATGCTCCCATGTCACTTGCTTGAATGAAGTACATCATTCTATTCTTCCAATAGGCATAGTTAGCTCCATTGAAGAAAGGAGGCTTGTTGACGGGCATCGAATCGAGACCGGAGTCGAAGTTTGAAGTGGAGGCCATTGATGACTTTGTAATCGATGTAACTCTTCCCGGATCGACTCAAGAGGCGATTAAACCTTCAAATGAGTTAGGCTCTGATGCCAATTGTTGAGTTAATCGAATGACGAAATTGGCCAAGAGGGGGGTGAATTGGCAATAAAAATTTTGTGGAAGATTTTGCAGAAAATTGAAAGTAATTGCACAGCGATTTACAGTGGTTCGACTTTCTCAAACAAAGTCTACGTCCACTACCTTAGCTATCCACACTAAGGATTTTCCAACAAATTCACTAATTTGTTCTTTCTTTTGAGGCCAAAGAGATAACCTTACAATTCCCTCAAGAGTATACCCCAACTCTTGAGAACACTCTTTTCTCAAAGAGAAGATTACAAATTTGCAAACTTACAAGAAAACCTCACAAGGTAAGATGTTTGCACAATTCTAGAACAAAGAAAAGAACACTCAAAGATGAATACAATTGAGCACAAAAAGGTGTTCTTGAAAGCAAAATGAATATTGAATGAAAATGAGCTTGAAATGCTCAAACTTGAGGTTTGATGCTTTCTCTCTGATTCTCTCTTGATTCTAGTTTCTTGATGTTTCTTGTTGTTGATCAATGGCTTCTAAGCTTGCTTAAATACACCTTGGATCACTTCTGAACGTTGGGGATAATTAGAGAAGATATTATAGCCGTTTTAGTGTGAAAACATTTAATAAAACAGCTTGGACAGTGGGGGGAATCGGTTCCCTCTCATAGGGAATCGGTTCCCTAAGTGTAAAATTCAAATATTTCGACCGTTGAACAAGGGGGAATCGGTACCCCCTTGGGGGGAATCGGTTCCCTCCGAGCATTCTGGAAATCTCGGAGCCAAACCATTCAGGGGGGAATCGGTTCCTCCTATGGGGGGGAATCGGTTCCCTCTGAGTATTCTGGAATTTTTGGCTTTGAATTGGTTCGAAATACTTTGTAAAATATTTTGAAATTGTTTTATTAAAACTTAATTTTACACTTAAGTAAGGATCAAATGATTTTTGAAATATTTGGAGTAATGTTTTTGATATTCGAATAGTTATATCGAATATACTTAGAAAATCATTTGGAAAATCTTAAAATTCATTTAACTTAATTTGTTATATCGAAATATTAAAATGTTTCAACAAATAAGGTAATGTTCATTTATCAAGGAATTAATAGTGTATTATCTACGTTATGTTTATAGGGTGACTACTGGTAATTCCCAAAGTAAATCAGCATCCTTTTTAAAAACCCATATCATGATTTCTTAGGCAATATTCATTTACTTAGATCAATAACAAAACTTTCACATTAAATGCTCAAGGGTGGTCGTTATTGGTCTTAGTAAACCAACATCCTTTTCCAAACATAGCATCCATAATGATTTTTAAATTAAATAAAAAATAAAACTCAAAATTTCCAATTTTTAAATATAGAGTAATAGACTAGGTATCAATTGCTGAGCATTGAGGTGGTGCTAACCTTTCCCCACGTGTAGCCTACTCCCAAACATGTTTTCTGGTTTTCACAAACCCAAAAATTTAGTATTTTTTATAGAAAAAATATTTTGTTAAAATTATCTGATTTTATGTGTTCCAATCTTAAAGTGATTGGTGGCGACTCCCAACATTTCATTAAAAATCATTTCAAAAGAAAAAAACCACATCGTTGCACCTAGTCGGCTTTCCCTCCGAAGGGCCGGTTGTGACATGTCCAACATCAAGATACCCCAATAACTCATTAAATAAGGTAATGCTCATTTATCAAGGAATTAATAGTGTATTATCTGCGTTATGTTTATAGGGTGACTACTGGTAATTCCCAAAGTAAATTAGCATCCTTTTTAAAAACCCATATCATGATTTCTTAAACTTTAAGGCAATATTCATTTACTTAGATCAATAACAAAACTTTCACATTAAATGCTCAAGGGTGGTCGTTATTGGTCTTAGTAAACCGACATCCTTTTCCAAACTTGACATCCTTTTCCAAACTTTGGCATCCATAATGATTTTTAAATTACATAAAACTCAAAATTTCCAATTTTTAAATATAGAGTAATAGACTAGGTATCAATTTCTAAGTGTTGAGGTGGTGCTAACCCTTCCGCACGAACGGCCGGTTGTGACATGTTCGACATCAAGATACCCAATAACTCATAAAATATGTGCATGACCAAACCATTGCAAAAATAATAATTAACGATAAAAAATTATAATAAGATAAAATAAAATAAAATTTCAAAATTATAATTAAAAAACAAAATCACAAATCATAAATAAAAATTATATTAACCCACTTAATTTCTAAAGGAGAATTTTGGGATAGCTCTGTAAAATTTCGATCCAAAAAAGTGATCATTATTTTGTCACCATCCAAATAGTTTAGAGTAATTCCGAGCAGTTCATCACACAAGTTGTATCAGTTTACTTCGGCAACACCGATTATAACCGTTCTGTCAACAGATAGAGTAAGATTAAATGCAACATCTTGTAGTGTAATAATAACCTAGCCTCCCCACACGAAAGATGAAGTGCGTGTATCAATTGAGGGTGCAACCTGATACCACCAACTATAGTGATGATGTGGCCAAAATCGACATCATACAAATATGAAAAATGTCCTCATGAGGTGGTGTAGAGGTTGAGATTCAATGAAAGTTCATATCCATTCAAATTAAAAATTTTAAATTATAAATAAGTAAATAACAACTAATAAAAATTAATTCACTAAATAAAAAAAGATTTTACCTTAGGATTTATCCGAACTAAGAAAATATAGTAGACAAGTAGGAAAGAAAGATAATTGAGAGACATGTGAAGGGAAATAATAAGGATGGACTCTATTTATATCAGTCCTCGCACCCTTTTCCGAAGCGAGGAATTAATGGACCTCGCGCTACGTGGAACGTGAGGTCATTTGAAAAGACGTGGTTTTAATGCAAATCAATTCTAATGTGTCAGAAGGGACCTCGTTATTTGCAGAACGCGAGGTCCCAAGATTTTTAAATTTATTCTTTTTTATTTATTCAAATATTATATTTTTTTGGGTTTTATTTGTTCAATTAAAATATAATAATTAGGATATTTTTTTAAAAAATATATATATCATTTTTAAATTTTCATCTTTTTTAAATTTCCATTTATTATTTTTCTTTAAAATTTAATACCTTGCTATACGCATAACGTGAAATCCTTTGAAAAAAGTGACTTTTCAATCCCACGATAAATTTTTGAGTCAGTTCAATTTCTCAAGGACCTCGTTATGTGCAGAATGTAATGTCCGTTTTCCAAATTTTAAATTGAGTTATCTAAAAGTGCTTCCACGTTGGATGAATCTCTTGCCCTACAGAACGTTAGGTCCTGTATAACACGAGGTATTCCTACATGGTTGATTTTGGGGTCATTTTTCCAAATAAACTTAGGTGAGGGTCATTTTCCTAATAAATTAATAAAAGGGGTTATTCTATTAAAATTGTCGTAGTATTTATTCAAAATCTTTCTTTGGCACTGACAACGCGTACACACCATGTAGCCATAACTGCACTAACCTGAAATCTCTAGGAATAATAAATTCTCCTTTATCCATTATACCACTGTGTTACTTAATGAGTTTTTAACCGTAAAATTGAATGATAATTGAAGAAAAAAAAACCAAGATTCTCAAATAAAAAATAGTATATAAACTATTTTTTATAAAAAAAATATGTAGAATGAATCATAAATTTTGAAATAATACAAGGACTTATTATATTTTTAGACATAAAATGTTTGGCATTGGTTTAAGACTATATATATATCACGATTGAAAATCCGAAAAATAAAATTGGGAATTCTGGAAAAATGGCGCAGTACTCACATTTGCACCAAAAAAGAACTATAGGATACAGAGTAAAGAGTAAAAGCGCCCCCTAAACCCACATTAATCCAAAAATTATCTGATTTTAATCCAAAAATTATATATATTTTTTAAAATTAAAAATACATTAATTTTGAAATAATCTCAAAATTTTGAAAACCTTCATTTCAACCTCTAAACCCACGCCAACCACCGCCATCGCTCGTCCGTTCCTATCACTGCCCAGCCCAATCGAAGCGCCTCGCCGCCATTATCAAAGCCTCAAAACAATTCGTGGATAGTCATAACCCTTGAAGTTTCGTCGAAAACCCACCCAACGCCTCGAATTTTGGACGATTCCGGCCGCCTCGGACCTCTGTTCGCCTCACCGTCACTATATTTAGCTTCTTCGTCGCTGTCCGCTCAAAACCCATCCGGTGGGTCACATCGTAGTCCTGTCCGCCGTTGTGGGTAAGCTTCAGTGTTAGGATTTAGATTTTTTTATAATTTAAAAGAAATAAGGTTTTTTTTTATAAATATATTAATATTTTTAATATTTATTTTTAAAAATAAAATTTTAAAATTACCAGATTGTGACATGTGTCACTTAACGGAAAAAACTAACGGTCCGTCACGGCGTGACCCATTATGAGTTACGGAATGTAACGTTAGGCACCAAACTGAAACAAAAAATACCTTAGGCACTGAACTGGAGAAGTGAACATACATTGGGCCCCTTTTGTATATTAAAGCCAAAAATAAATATCTGGTTGACATTGGCCAAAGATATTATCGTTCTTGATGACGTGGAACATAGCGACGATATTGACACGTGTAAAGCGTCGCCATGTGGAGTCTTTATTGGCTACCGAGTCCCGTCCCCCACCACGACATCGCCGGCCTCTCTCCATTTTCTCTGCTAAATTTAAGGTACAATTTCTTTCCCTTTTTGTAAAGTGAAATTATTTTCACCTTCTCTTGTTCCATTTTCAAAGAATATACAATGGGAGATCATCTCCGGCGGAGTTTTCCTTTTGCGACTCGGCGCTTTTTGGATCCTCAGCCTTGTGTACCTGAGTTGACTCGAACCCAATCCGATTCCTCCGACTCCGGTGTTACCATTCAGAGCGTCAGAGATCCTACTGCAGATGCACAACCGGTAATTTCTCTTTCTAATTTTACCTTTCATTTTTCCTCCAGTGTTTCGAATTATGGTTTTGCATTTTTTATTCTTCCTCAAAAAATTTATTTCTTAGTTTAAGTGTTATATAATAATTCTAGAATACTGTTCTGACCGCAGAAAATCTGTTATTTTCTAAAAAAATAAATTTTGTTTGAAAAATCTAATTAGGAAAAACTAGAAAGATGGGATCTCTTCATTGAAAAAGAAGCTGCAGTTAATATTATTCTTTTTCAGTTTGCTTATTTTTCAAATATAGAAGTTTTATTGTTAAATTTGAACATCATAACAAAAGCAATTAGTAATGCTTTTCTTGTAATACACTGACACTATATTGATGAGTTGCTTTAGTTTTGAATTACTGATCCGTAATTGAGAAACCAGTTTTTTTGAATCTTACTTATTGGGTATGATTAGCGGTTCTGGAGTGGAGAAATGGAAATTCAGTATCTTGCAGTTCTATAAAAGTATACTGTATGCCCTATTGGTTCAAATTTTGCACTGAATCATAGAACAAAAGTTTTGGTGTCTCATTAACCCTATACTTGCTTGAGATATATGTGGGTATCAAAACTATTGGAAGCAGCTCCTGCTGAAAAGTTTTGTCCACAATATCAAGAAAGTTTTGTACTCAGCTTTTCTTTGCAAAGAAAAGCTGAGTACAAAACTTTCTCGATATTGTGGACAAAACTTTCTTAGACCTTTCAGCAGGAACTGCTTCCAATAGTTTTGATACCCACAAGATATTGATACCAAATGAACCTAAGAGAACATAGCAACCCTTTGTTCCCTCTATAAGATGATATGGATAATAAAGGTGCCTTAATTTGTTATTTTGGCATTTGTTTTTATTTTTCTTTCGAAACGAAGATTTAGTTTCTGATCATTTAATAGTGTAATTGAAGGCTGGATGTAGGTTTTAAAGTCTATTTTCTGGTTCTAGTTAGAACATAGAATTGGTTACATTTTTGTTCGAGATTGGTCAGTGGTAGTTTCAGCATTATATTTTAACATTGGTTACATTTTCATATTCTTTTATATTTGAGGAACTTTTCTTAAAGTAAAGTCTGAAGTTTATATTAGGTATTTACCATTGGAAAAGCATCTCATCTTTCTAAATTGAGGCAAAAGTTTGGGTCGATGATATGGGATATCCTCATTCTTTTCTATATGATATACTGAGGCTAATGATAGGATTTTGGGAAAATAACCTATGCACATTCTCTGGTTTGAGGCTAAGCTTTTGATCTACAAGGGGTATTAAGACATCCTAGATGGAAGGAGATGTTTTTCACTTGGATTAAGTGATTATTAAACTTGTTTTTGTTGATCTTCCTCCACGCTTTGCTATTTCTATGGATCCTTGCTTGTTATAGAAATCTCTTGTTTGCCTTTTTAATGAAGAAAATGTTTCTACTTGTTGTTTATGACCCTTGGGATCTAGTTCCCTCTAGATTTCTAGCCTGCTCTAGTGCCCTCTATTTATGTACAAGACCATCATTTCCATGTTCATTTCATATATAAGATTGTGTTCTGCTGGAGGTAGTTAGGTTCCCTGTAGAATGCCTCAAATTGTCGTGTTCATTAGTTGTTTTCTATCAGTAAATTTCTCATCAGCAGTTTTAAATTGTCCTGTCTTCTCCAAGTTCCTCATGTAGTTTTTAGCATTGCATTTCTGGATTCCTTAGCTTTGAATTGCAATTTCCTCTTGGTCACCAACTAGTGCTTCTAACCTACGCTTAAGTATTTGTCAGCACCTTTTCCATCTGTTTTCTATAATAAAATCTATCTGAGAAATCCAAAAAGGTCAGCATTGTTTGTGTAGAACCTAGTTGTGTAAAGCTGTCGTGATTTAAAAACTTTAGAAAATGAGTTTTTGTTTATCTTAAATTCTAAGTTGTAATTTACTTAGTATTAGGCTTTACCTTTTTAGAAGATAAGTTTTCTTAGGAGATAAAGGTTAAGAAAAAGATACCTAGTTAAATTGTAATTCTTAGCCTGTAAAAGCATGCTGGTTTTTTATTTTTCAAGTAAGCAATACGAACAGAACTCAGGTTCTCTCTTCATTTAAAATTTCCCTTTCTATCTTCTTGGAATATCTCTTCAATTCTTCTTCGAATATTCACACTAGCAGAATCATACTTTAGCTATTTGGAGTCCCCGTGGATTTGATGGCAAGTTAAAGATTGTCCTCTTGTTGTAGAAAACCATTTTTCTTTATTGATTAGCCTTATATAAATGGTTTAATTTTTCCCCCTGCATGCAATATGTTGTATTCGATTTTTCTCTTTATTCTAAAGCTCTCTTTTCCTCGTGGTTCAGCTTTAATCTTTTACTATGTTATTTTAATTTTTAATGTAGCAGGGAAAAACTATGGTTTGGACAAATGAGAAGCACAACTCTTATCTTGATTTCTTAGAAGCATCATTTGTTAAGAAGTTGCATTATTCTAAGAGTTTGCATGGCTGTCACCAACAAATGGGAATGTGGGAACAATGTCCATTCTCACAGCAGCCACCAGAAGGGCATCATTCTTCTCATCGGGTCGGAGACTTAATCTGCTTGTTCCTTCTTATTGTTAGGGTTATATCTCAATTAACTGCCTAGCTTCAATAATTTATCTTTAATTTTCGTTTCAGTTTTCAGTTCTACGAGATGGCTATGGCCAGAAGATGAACTATAAGAGCCATGACCATTTCTTGGAAAGCACAGCTGAATCTGGTGCTGTCATGGAAAGTCCAAGGTTAGGTAAGTTTACATCTGCAGAAAAAACAAGCATAACATATCCTGTTCCTAGAGAAACTGTGGTTCCCAATGATGGAATCTACTTGGGAAATAGTGCAAACTTTTCTTGCAAATCAGCAGTAAATTCAGAGCAGAATCCCATCATTGATTCATGCAATCACAACCTGGGTAGCTGCACCGCTGGTAAATCTACTTAAAAGCCTCAATCTGATAGCAAATTTTCCTCTTTCCCCTGCCCCCTTCACATCTATTTTGAGTTTCCATATTCCGTGCTAGTCGAGCATGGTTTTAACCATTGCACTTCCTCATGCGCATGCCTTAATTTTCTGGAAATTTCTGAAAACAAGCATGTTTTCTTCTCCTAGTATGCTTTTGATGGAGATGTTTCATGGATGAACTTTATGGGGTCTGTTTCTGACTTACTGGTTTGACACCAGTGAAGGCTTGTATGCTTAGGCTATCTTTCTCTCTATTTAGACTTTTCATGATTGGTGAAAGCAATTTAATCTTACATAATTTAAGTCTTGTGAGCAGTTTCCTTGGTCTGCAGTGCCTCCAAATTTCACAGTGAATGTACTGTTTATATGTGTTTGCGCGTGTGCACCTTGATTTCGTTGTTTGTTACTAGTAGCTTTAAATGATGGATTTTAAAGGAGGGAAGACCTACAGACGATTTTATTTTATTTTTTTGGATTAGAATAGACTGGATGAAGTACTTGTTGGGCTGGGAGGCACATGTGGTGTGTAGGATTGGCGCCACAGTTCATCCAAAGAGACTCAAATTGCAGAGATGCCATGTGGGGTGCTGTGTTTCAGTAAGATCAGGCTGAAAGGAACGTAATGAAATGCTCAGGTTTTGCAGTAGTAAGTTGTAAGGAAACTTTTATGAATGGTTTGCTAGAGGAGCCCTGCTTTATCTACGGAGAGCTGGGTAGCTAAAACATCTCGATAATTGTAGTAAGGTTACGAGCTTATACAAGAAATGACAGGAACATAATAAAATGTTTGGTAAAAGCACCAACTGCCTATAGTCTTTTAGATGTTTGGTCATCTGCTTATGGATCCTAAAATGTTTCTGTGAAACAAGAGTGTTTAGATGGGAAGATGAGTTAAAGTACTAAAAAAGATTTGAAGCTTTATATTTTATCAGTTTTAGCCATAAATCTTTCTTTCTTGCATATTATCTGGGGTTCTGAATGGGTTACTATAAAAAATCATCCAATTGATTTGTGATTAAGCATCTCTAATTCCTTGTTAGGTAGCCACCTGTTGGCTATTCCTTTGTATCTGTGACTTAAGGATTTTGTTGCCATTGGATACTTTTCCTTTACATGTTCCTTGAGAGGATCATATTTATATTTTTTTGTTTATGCTATTCCTTTGCCAATGGTTGTTCTGTTTTTTTTTAACTGAAGTATTTGGTCTTTTATAGACGCCTCAGATCAGAATTTTGTGGATGAATACCAAGAAGAAAAGACTAGCTGTATGTCGGGGGCAAAACGCTTGAAGATGCAGACAGTGATTAATGCTTCAAGTAACAGTCTAGTAATGTTAAAACTTTGCGACTTGGATGTGTAAACAAGATTTGAGTTATTCAATGATGCTTCATGTTTTAGAAATCTCACATTTATTATTCATGAAATGCTTGTTCAGGTTGCCCCAGTTGGCAAATTGTTTGTTTACCGTAATTGGAATTACGGAATTGGTTTTCCCCGAATTCCCGTGTTTGTTTCACGTAATTCGTTTTTCGGAAAAATGTTTTCCAGTGTTTGTTTTACGTAATTGGTTTTTCTGAACGTAATTCATTTTCCTAGTAACAAAATTTCCTTTTTGTTTTCTGGAAAATGACTTACGGATTCATTTTCCGTAAGTCATTTTCCGAACTTTTCACTTCAAATAATAAATACTCAAAATAATTTTATTTTATGAATTTAATAATAATAAAATATTTTAATATCATTTTCATCAAAATATTATTTATTAATATATATAAAATTATAATATTATATTTTTAATATATAAAATAATCAATTATATTATAATAATATAAGATTATATTTTTTTTAATAATATAATAAAAATTTATATTTAATAATTAATAATATTTATATATTTAAATGATATTTAATAAAGATTTAAAATACTAATTAATATTTTAAAATATAATATACACTATTACTTTAATAAATATTTATAATATTTTTATTTCACTAAAATAAAAAAATTAATATTTTTATTAATAAATTATAAAAATACTATTTAATAATAAATAAATTATTTTTAATAATAAAAAAGTTTTATGATAAATAATATTATTTATTGTATTTAATATTTGTAATAAATAATTTTTAAAAAACTCCTCAACTAGTGGAAAAAATGTTTAAATAACATCTTCCAAACATCATAAAACGTCTTCCAGATGTTTTTCAGAAAAATGTAATTTATTTTACGGAAAATATTTTCCGGAAAACGTTTTCCAAAAATGTAATTCATTTTTCAGAATTCAAATTCTAATAATTCATTTTCCAGAATTCAAATTCTAATAATTCATTTTCCAGTAATTCAAATTTCAGTAATTCATTTTCCGAAAACCAATTACAGCCAAACAAACAGACCCTTACATACAACAACGGATGACTCAATAATCAGCTATATGACTGCAGAAAGAGGGGAAAAGAAATTACTGTCAGATCGTCCAGAGAGCTTGACCCGCCCGAAATCTGACATACATTACTTTCTAAGGGAGAGTTAAATTGCTACTTTGAACTGAAGCACTGATACATGTTTAACCCAACATATGGAGACAGATTGAGCTAGTTTCCCTGCATTGTTTGCTCGAAGAACAGTTGTGCACTCATAAGATCTGACACAGACATCGATTTGAGTAAGAACCCTTTTTTTTCACCCTTTGTTATGGGGTATGCATTACAAATTTAGGATTGACATTTTCCTAAACTTGTAATGGTCAGTGATGTTAATTCTTGATGCCCAAGTCTGAGATGCGAAATGGCTCCATTTGTTTTTTTTTTTTGGTAGTGAATGTAAATTCCCAAAGTTTTTTTTAGCACACTGTAAATTATAGAAACAAATGAAATTCCTATGGTGGTGGTATTGTTATATCATTGAGCTATATCAAAGTGTTATTTGTTAGGTATGTCTTGTATGAATCGAATATGCATTTTCTTTTGATGTGTAGGAATGATGACTTGAGCAAACTAAACTAGAAAACAAAAGGGATAATCCCAAAAGCTAGTTTGTTGAGCTATGATCGGCAATTTCATATATACATTGGAGATTGACAAGGCAACGATTACTGTATGCATTTATTCTTGTTCTAACTAAACCACTTGAGCTACTAACTGTTTGTCCTGTTGTAACCTTTTAATAAGATCAACTAATATACTCTTTCCTCTAACAAAACACTATACTTGAGCATTTACCTAACATTCTTGAAATTATACTAGACCCATGTTGAATTCAGGCATGATATATATTTCAATATTATTATAATTTCCCCCAAAAACAGTTTTACAAGGAATTGGCTTCTACACTCTACGTACAAAATTGAAATTTTGGTAGATTTGCGGGGAATATCCATACAATTTACTGAGTTTTGGTGTAGATTTTTATTGATTTTTTTAAAAAAATAATTTATGTGCTTCTATTCAATTTTTTTTAACCTATTGACAATTCTCACACATTTTGTAGACGTGACTGTTAGGACTCATGACTTTTAGAGAGAATACTTGATGGGTTTAATTTTTATTGATATTTTAAATCCAACTTAAACAACTATATTTGATGATAACAAACTTAGACCATCAGAATTAATATGAGATCTAAGCCATTTTTAAATCTTCTATTCCTTATTAGATATTTCTAAAATATAATTTATATTTTAAATTGTTATTTAACACTAAAATTTCTAACTAAATCTTTAAAATATTAATATCATTTCAATGATGTTATTTTGATCATCATCTTCGATATGAATAATTTTTTGATAAAAAACTGCTAGTTTTATTAAAAATAAAAAATGTCCAGAATAAATATACTGAAATAAATAAAATATTCAGAATAAATAGATCTTTAAGAAAAAAATTTAAATTCTAAACACTGAAATAAATACATGGTAAAAAAAGTAAATAAACTTAACCATGGGTTATTTTGTGAATGTAAATACAATATTAAAATTATTAATAATTTATAGAGAAAATAACCTCAGTGACAAAAAATGTCTTATAATATACGATTTTAACCAACTTTTTTTTGATTTGCCAAAATGACCAACTAAATCGCAATGCGATCGATAATTCGCAACGCGATCTCCGGTATCGCAAATTAGTTTCCAGATTCACAACGCGATTCTGACTATCGCATTGCGATTTCCCAAATTCGCGTTGCGATTTTCCTAATTCGCGTTGCGATTTTCCTAATTCACGTTGCGATTTTCCTAATTCGCAATGCGAATACGTAAATCGCAACGCGAATTTAGAAAATCGCAATGCGAATACGTAAATCGCAATGCGAATACGTAAATCGCAATGCGATTACGTAAATCGCAATGCGAATCTGTAAATCGCAACGAGATTCTGACTATCGCAATACTGAATTTCAAATTCGCAACTCGATTTCTAAATTCGAAACAGGTTTTAGTTTCGTAACTCAAATGTTTTGGGTATATAACTACGCATCAACAACAACTCATAACCTAAATCCCTAAATCGCAACTCATTCCATCTCCATCTATCACTCTCTCCGACGACATCCGTTCCTATATCCAACGACATCCTTCCCCATCCGGCAACAGGTTTTAGTTTCGCAGCTCGTTTGTTTAGTAAATTAATTTACAATAATGAAATCATCTAATGTTGATCATGTTTGGATAGATTTGTGTTTTGGAGGGTCATGGGAGAATGTTCATGGTGTTTTACAATATATGCCTTTACCCATGAATCTTCAACTAAAACTGTCATTAAAAAAGTTAACTTATGAAACTCTATGTTACGTGTTGCAAATAAATTGAATTTAGAGCCCTAAGTGGATTTAGGCTATTATCAGAGAAATGGTCAAGTTATTTGTTAACCGACAATGAAGATGTTGAACGATTCATTGCTTACATTAGTGTTTCAAGTGATGATGTTACATTGTATGTTGTTGAACCTAGAAGTAGTGAAGTTGGGTCAGTAGCGGGTAGTAATCAACTAAGTTTTTCAACCCCAGTTTATGGTGCTCAAAATTTAATGGTTCCACCACAATTTCATCACCAAGCAAATTTTGTTTCACCACATTTCCAATACCAAACACAATCTCAAAACCCACAACCTTTCCCTAATCCAAATCCCAATCAACTTTCAGCACCAAATTCGGTTTTCGTATTGACCAGTTAGACGATGATGAGCCAACATAAAAAATTATGAGTACTAGTCAGTATTCAAATTTGATCTTGGTCAATACCGGACTTTGATCTTGGTCAATACTCGGATTTGATGATTTTCAGAAGAAGAAACAGACCCTGCGTGTAATGATTTTGATATTGGTCAATACCCGAATTTTGATGATGAAACAGCCGTTGCCGAGGAAGATGTGTTGTTGATGATAATGAGGAAGAAGTTACGACTGTAAATGAACATGTTGAACATCCATTCTGTAATTATATAACACTGAAGAAGAAAAAGAAGAAGAAGAAATCCCCAAAGAAAGTCCCCGAAGAAAATGCCACAGGAGTATAATGGAATATGCCAGAATTACTTCAGATACCGGATAAGAGTTGGTAAAGATAACAGTTAATTGTTACACAAAATTATTCGTATCAAGAAAGATGATTGTTTGATACAAAGGAAGACTTGAAGATAGCTTTGTATGAAATGTGTGGAAGATGGCTATCATCTAAAAGTTAACAAATCAAGCAAAGATCGTTTCGAAACAAGGTGTATGATTGACAAAACTGTACGGGCGTATGATTGCAAAGAGGATAAAAGATTGCGAAATGTTTCAAGTTAGGACTTTTATTGATAACATACATGTTCAAGAACCCAAGTTTTTCCTCACCATAGACAGGCAAACAAAAAGGTCTTGGGTGGTTTTCTGGCTGAGTTAATGTTTTTGAATGGCAGGGGTATATCGGGGACATGAAATTATGACTGACATGAATGCTCGGTTCAAGATTAGTATCTCATATTCTCAAGCTTGGAGAGCCAAATGTTATGCCTTGGAATTGTTGAGGGGGTCGCCAGAAGCATCGTTTGCCCAACTGCCGGCTTATTGCCACAATTTAAAGCTGAAAAATCCTGGGTCGGTAACTCATATCAAAATAGATAGAGATGGACGCTTTGAGTTGCTGTTTATCGCCATTGGTGCTGCGGTTAGTAAATCAATATAATTTTGTTGACTCATTTTTGTTAGTTACATGCATTTCACATTTAAATGATTATATTTCTTGTGTCAACAAATATTATGTACACATAATGCATTCAACATTATGTAACTCAAAGCGTCCATCTCTATCTGTTTTGATTGCCATGACGTCGTTGCGATTTTCATTTCGTATTGCGATTCTCTCATTGCGATAGTCATTTTCGCGTTGCGATAGTCTGTTTTGCATTCAGCATAATGCAGATTGAAATCAACAAATCAACTATTATATTTCAATCAATTAAACAAGAACAAATATTATGTACACATCAATTAAACAAATCAACATTTACAAATCATCTTTTACAAATCAATTAAACAATCAAAAAATAATAATGAAATCAACTTTTGCACCCATACATCCATTTCACGCAGCTCACT